CAGGAGAGGTCTGCTGTGCCATGTGGGTCACCTCTGGGGTGCAGCAGCCAGCTTGCAGTGCTGAGCTTTAGCCCACTGTGCCACCAGGGAGCCTCAAATCTTCTTTTTAACTTACAAAAGTTATACCTTAGCACCTATTTAAATAGCATTGGCCTCTTCCTGAAACATAGCTAGCCAAACATGAGACTTGTCCCCTGTCATCAGGACTAAAGCCCAGACCCTTTGGCTTGACATCAATTCCCTTCATCCTCTGGGCCCACCCCATCTTTCCAACTTTATCTTTTAAAGTTGTCTTGCTCTAACCATCCAAGATAATTTGTCCATCTCCCCAACATTCCCAATTGCCTCCCTCCTGCTGGCCTTCTTCCAGGTACGCTCCCTGGAAGTCCTTGACTACTGAGACAGAGTCAGCCTTCAAGCCTCAACTGCCATTTGCCTATGCTTTCCCGGCGCTTATGTCACAGGCGGGGCTGGCATGACTGCCTGTGGCTCACTTGTGGCCCTCATTTGCCTTGCATGTGTGTCTTCCAGCTCTATGCCATTGTTGCCATCTTCACCACCAAGCATAAAGCCTTACCCAAATGCAACATACTAAATGGTAAACACACATTGACTTGAGCTGAAAAGGAGGCATTTGGCAACTCTTCACTCATTCAGTGCAGTGAGTTATCCAGGAGTCGGTATAAATAATTGGTAGTTGAGTCTGGCTAATGCTTTCACTTTACTATCAGTGACAAATTATAATAGTCATTTTTAAAAAACACACTATGGAGGAGAGCAGTGAATAATATGTTGGCGTTTTTTTCTGTTCTTCCCCACAGAAGAATCTTTGTTCACAGTTTCAGGAGTGAGTCTAAAGCCAGAACTGTGCGACCTCTTGGCCTCCTACCAGAAAGGTCACCACCCAGCCCGGGTTAGCAAATGTTGGTGAAAAGAAAGGGTGAGAGCACCCAGATCCTTCCAGGTGAGTGATCCCAGCAGTGATGTTCCTCAGAGACAGAACTGAGAAGTGATAGCTGCCAGGTGGTAAGGGTGGTTCCTTCCTGGGCTCAAGAGCGTCTCGTTCTGTGTCCAGTTCTTCCTTCCCACTCTAGGGACAGGTGGCCCAGCCGCTCAGGCTGGAGAGGACAGTTGAATGCACATTGCCAGTCTCTCCCACTCCCAGAGAAGAGGAGATTCCCAAGGCAGAGCGTAGGGGGGAGCCCCTACGGTCTGACTGACACACGTGGAATAACAGACTACAGCTGGTATCTGCAGTTCCCTTAATTACATGCCCCATGTAAACCAGCATGTTGGGTCACCTTAGCAGGGCAAGAACCCCCTCTGGTGCCAGAAAAGACCAGGTTCAGAGCCTCGTGCCACCTGGGGGATAGTTTTAAAGGCCCATGAGAACGGAATACAATTGTCGCAGCTACGGGCTTTCTTTCGCACAGTTGGTTCAGGGTGAGTCCTGGGGACCACAGGCACCTGCTGGGGATTCAGAAGCCACCACAAATGACACAGACACAGCTGCTGTCAGGAGCCATCTCAATCAGCCCAGCATTCCAAGGTAATCTTGAGAAGAAAGGATGTCGAGGAGGATTCTCCAAGACTACCATCCCTTAAAGTTCTGCTGGTAGGCAGGACATAGTGAAAACTCCAAAAGCTACCATAGCTTGGACACCCTCAGATGTCACAAAAAATACTCCCCATACTGGCCTTCTGTGCTGATCAGAGGGGACAATATTTAGAGAGTGGAACCTGCTCACAGAATCAGCCAGCCTAGAGGTAAACCCAGATCTCCCTGGGTCTATCTAAAGCATGAGCACTAGAGTGATTTGGCCATCCATTTTGTAACCACAGCTTGTTCATGCTTCCACAGCTTGCCCTAGGTAGCAACCAGCACACTCCCTAGCTTTCCCACGTTCCCTCTCCCCTCCCAGCAATGCTTCACACCCCAACATGTCATTTACATGGCGGGAGGATTCAGCTTTTTGCCACTTTTTCTTGGATCGTTCTCATTTTGGTTACTGATATTTAAAGGCATATTGTTGTGCAGCAGGCAAGAAAAGGAGGGCAGGTAGGCCAGGCTGGGACCTGGGAGGCACCAGACTTGGGGCGCAGGGAGGTAGGAAGGCAATTGAGCCACCCAGCACCCTTGTGAATCTTCTCAGCTCTGTTTGGTGTTCTGATGTTCTCAGGCATTCTCTCATGGGCTTACCTCCTCTGTAGGCATGCTACTCACGCTCCCAGCTGCTGTTCTTGGCCCCAGCTCTAGTCTCAGGTGTGCACACCCACACTCCAGGTGTCCACAATCAGGCACGTGTGCCCCACACCTACACCCCAAGTGCCTTCTGCATCAGCACCATCAAGGCTGCAGGTGATAGTCACAGAGCCCAGTGGCATAAAAAGCCTGTTTAATTCATGCAACCTGCACATATATACATCAAGTGTCCCTCTGGGTATTTATTCAAAGAGTATTGTATTTAGAAATTTGGCAAGATAAGAGAAGTTCAGAATTATAATTGTCCCCCATATTTAATGAAGAAGCTGAGTCTATTTTGACAATATACCATTGGAAATACAATTGGCAGGACAATAATATGTTATTTTCCCAAACAAACTATTTCCTAACACAGAGAATCACTATACTTCCGCTTAAATGCATTAGTTAGGAGAATTGGACTTACGGACCATCTACCAGCGTTATATTCTATAAAGTGAAGAATTTGCCCTTCAAAGACCATGATGGAAATGGTCTCAGCTGGTGGTGCTCTGTAGCATTGCTGTGATGGCTGCTGTTAAAGCTTTTATTTTCTAAATGGTTGGAAGATAAGTTGATAACGCAACCCCACTGCTCCCCAGTAACTTTCTGCAAAGAATTGTTACCTGAAGAAGTCAATTGGTCACAATAGAAAATCAATTAGATGCAGCGTGTCAAACTTGGTGTGTGTGTACTCAGAGACTAGAGGACACAGATTCAGTCTATCGGGCTAAGCCACGGTGTCCCGAGGCCTCTGTTGCTAACACAGGGAGATAAAACCTGTAGGAGATGAGCCACAATAGGCAAATGCTAGTGCAATTAGCTGTTTAATAAATGGCTTGGGATCAGCAAAATCTGGGAGTGCTGGAGTGAAAGAGACTAAAAGCAATAATCACACAGACACTTGGGGCCTATGAATCTTTTCCACTAAATTGAATTTATGTTAAAATATTCACTTTTCTGAAGATTCAAAATGTAAGTTGGGATATTAGGACTGGCAACGGGCAGCAATGCCTCAAAATTGACTTCTTAAAAGATCTTCAAATTGTCACTTTCAGGTAGGGGGAAAATTTCTACTGATGTTTTTCCACAGAATAATAGGGGGGTTTTAAAAATATATATCATGTCCCAAGCACTTTACACGTTATGTCAAAGCTTGATGTGCTTTTGAATAGTGGGATGTAATGAATTACAACTGTAGTTGTATATCCAAAGGTGAATTTTGATTATTTTTAAAGCTTTCTTAGCTCTTTTCACCAGAGGTAAGATGCTTCTCTGTTATAGTTTATTATCAACTTTTCTATCTGTAATATACACAATTCCATCCTCATCTTTATTTTTTTAAAGATTTTACTTATTGGCCTTCCCTGGTGGCGCAGCGGGTTAAAGCACAGCACTGAGAATCTAAAGCCGCTTCCGCATGAGTTCGATTCCCGCCTGCCCTGGAGGTGACCACATGGCGTGGCAGACCTCTCCTGACCCGCCCGCTGCTCCCCTCAGCAGTGTACTTCATCGATCTGCCTGTTCTGTTCCCCACTCTGCCTCTGGTGAAGCCTCTCACCACCCCTGATTGTCTGGCCTGAACCCCAGTTCTGTATGCACAAATAAATCTTTAAAAAAAAAAAGATTTTACTTATTTATGTATATAGAACTGGGGTGCAGGCCAGAGGTGGAGGGGCAGTGAGAGGATTCACCAGAGATAGAGTGGGGAGCAGAACAGACAGACGAAGTATAGTGCTGAGGGGCGCCGCGGGCGGGTCAGGATTGGTCTGCTGTGCCCTGTGGCTCACCTCTGGGACTGGGGATAGAACTCATGCTGTGGCTGCAGCTCACCTGCAGTGCTGAACCACCAGGGAGGGCCATCATCCTTTCCTTTACACTACTGTTTAACAGGCTTTCCTTACTCAATCCATACTAATTGTTCATAATTTTTATTTTACATATTCTTCATCCTTCCAGGGGTACACTGCTGCTGTTTCCGTTTTCATTTGTTTGAGTTTACCAAGAAGCTTCATATCTAATCCCACACTGAATTTTTATTCCACTACCTGTGTAGGGTAAATGAAACATGCTCAGGCTTTTGAGCCGTCGGCGTCTATGGCTGTTACCTGTGACCTTCAATGTAGGAGATGTTTGGGAGCGTGGGTGTGGGGTACGCATGCCTGATGGCAGGCACCTGGGGTATGGTGTGGACACGTGTAAGTGGGCACACCTGGAGGCTGAGGGGATAAGGGCAGTGTCACAGAGGACGGAGGGCAGTGGGGGACACCCGTGAGCCCTGTGTGCCCCACACCCCGCACACCCACCTGGTTGTTTCACTACAAGTGGTCTAGAAAGATCATCCAAAGCCAGAAAAAGCCACTGAGAGCTCCAGATTCCCACTTAGCCATCTGCTTGGGAACCTTCCCTGTGCCTTCCTGCCACTACAACCTGTGGTCCAGAATATTTTTCAAAGCTTAGCTTTAATATTTAAATATTAAAATAAGCAAATGATGCATAACACTTGAAGAAAAAGCATTGAAAGCATTTTGCTGTTGTCATTTCCCTAGAATTTAACACTGACTGGCTCAAAAATTAGACACAGTCTAAAATAGTCTATGAAAAGGATGTCTGAATAACTGTGTTGTTTGATAGAGAGATCCCTGAGCCAGGAGATAGATTTCCTGACAGGACAGATGGGAGACTGACAACTGAAAGACCTTAGAGAGGGAGCTGGTGCTTACAGCAGTCTGTTGATCCTCTGCTCACTTACAATTGTCCCCAACAAAAGGACTTCTGTGGCAAAGGGAGGATTAGTCTAAAGTTTAGAAATATCTCCAGGGAAGGTGGTTTCTTGGATAAAGTTGTCAACAAAAGGACTTGCTTAAGACTCTTTCTTGTGATTTCCTAGGGGGCACTTCTTCCTTCACTAACTGGATTATCACAACACATTACCACCCTAATCTGATTTTAGACATTTGGATTGCACTGCTAGTTAGAATTAAATTTCTGGCTCTCTTTCTATTGAATCACAATTGTCTTTGATGACAAAAAGTGATGATGAATCCAAGCTTTGATTTGATAGTAGAGATATTGAATAGATAGGTAACAGTAATGGGTTCCAAAGATGTAATTCAACCCCATTGCACCATCAGACACACATGAGTGTACACACACACATTCCTCTTCAGTAAAATGAGAGGGTCTCTGCTAACACATGTACAGTCTTCTGCAGTTACTCCTAAAGAAAGCCAGGGAAATTCTAACTACTATCTAGGGATCATCTACTCAGTCGCTATACAGTCGCTCAGAAATCAGAGACTCCTTTACAGCCTCTAAAAGAACAAGGGGGAACTAGTTAAGAGGAAATTTTAAGAGAGTAATTATCCAGCCAAAGTCTGAAATGGTAGAAGGGAAAACTCATACAACTAGTCAAAAGAAATCCACCTTAGTGGGTATTTGATTTGTCAAAGACATTTGACAAAACCTGCCAGGTATGCCTGAAATATGAAACTGTGTGGGTGGAAGATGGGACAGATGTGTGTGCTCAAAGAATGGTAGTTTTTCAACCTAGAGACAGGCCAACAGGCTGGGTACAAGGGTCCATCTTAAATCCTTGAATTTCAAATCTGGTCAAATGTATTTTATTAATCAGATGAATAAAATCAGAGAAGATGCACTACTTATTCATAAAACTCACTGAAATAAGTACTACTATTATTAATTTATTGCTTTCATTTCACCAAAGGGGGAAACTGAAGTTCAAAGTTAAATCACTGCTCTCTGATAGTACACAGTGTGAAGGTGCAGCCTCAGGTCTGGCTGTCCCCAGGGTCTCTGATCTGTCCAGTAATCATGGGCATGCTGAAACTGTAGAACACCTCTAGATGAGGCAGCTGATATTTGGCACTAGACCCTGATTCAAAAGACTAAGACCTTGCTGAAAGCCAAGTGCAACATGACATACCTAATAGAATGGAAAAATCCAAACCTCGGACCCACCAAATGCTGGCAAGCCTGTAGGGCAACAGCAATCTTATTCATTGCTGGTGGGAATGCAAAATGATGTCACCACTTTGGAAGGCAATGGGTGGCTCTCACAAAACTAAGTGGACTTGTAGCATATATCCAACAATCATTGTCTTTGATATTTACCCAAAAGAATTAAAATCTTATATTCACACAAAAATCTGTACATAGGTATCTATAGAGGCTTTATTCATAATTGACAAAACTTGGAACTCTCCAAGATATTCTCAGTAGGTGAGTGAATAAACTGTATTCAATCCAGTTAATGGGATATTATTTGTTAAAAAAAAAAAAAGCTATCAAGACATAAAAGGAAATTGAGGGAACCTAAATGAATATTGCTAAGTGAAGGAAACCAACCTGATGAATCTATATATTATGTGATAACAGCATGACATTCTAGAAAAGGCAAATCTCTGGAGACAAGAAAATGATTAATATTTGCCAAGAGTTAGGAGGGAGGGGTAAATAGATGGAGCACTGAAGACTTTTAGGGTGGTGAAACTACTCTGGTGCCACTATACTTGTGGATACATGTCATTATAAACTTGTCCAAGTCTATAGAATGTACACCACCACAAATGAATCTAAATGTGAACCAGTGACAGTGGATGGCAATGATGTGGCATTATACACTCATTCATTGTAAGACATGTACCATTCTGGTGGACGAAGTTAACTATAAGGGATGCTATACCTGTGTGGGGGCAGGTAGCATATGGGAAACTTCTGTATCTGCTCGATATTGCTGTAAATCTAAAATGAAAATAAGCTATTTAAAGACAAATAAAAAAAACTATTGAGCAACAAACCAATGCTTTTTTTTATTAAAAAGTTTATTTTTACATCATTTTGCACATTTTTTTTCCATCTCAATTGTAATCCCCGCGGGTTTCCCATCACCAAATCACCCCTGTGCCACCACCATAGTCCCGTGCATTTCCCTCCCTTCCCCCCCACCCCCCGGTTTTGATCCCATTCCCAACTCCACCCCCACAGAATGTCTCTGGTATATGGTTGTTCATTATTTTTGTTATTTTCTCGCCTGGTCCATTATACTCCTGCTATGAGTGAAACCATCCGGTATTTTTCTTTCTCTTTCTGGCTTATCTCACTAAGCATGATCTTTTCCAGCTCCATCCAAGTTGCTGCAAAAGACATGTGTTTCTCTTTTTTGGAACAAACCAATGCATTTTTAAACCAAATTTCACCTGATTTCATTTCTTATGCATTAGGCATAGAATGTCAACAACTGATATATAAGACTGTGACTTCATGAAGATCAGCACTTTTAAATAAATTAAAGGTACATCTACCTGTCCTCCAATGATAACACTTTCAGGTAATAGAAAACAAGAAATAAGACAAGTGTCCCAGAGAAGGGAACTAGTTTACTCTCTACTGATCAAACCACATCTAAATTATTGTCAGTTTGACTCATCACATCTTAAAGGAAATATCAAGTTGAAGTAAATATTTGTTGTGCATCTACTAGCTTACGGATCTAATCCTGTTTAATCCTCCTAACATGACCAAGAGGAAAGAATAGTTATTCCCCACTTTATGGAGAACACAGAATCAAATTTAAGAAGCTAGGACTTGATGTTCCAATTCTCTTTCCCCAAAGTCTGTCACCCCAAACTCGGTGCTGCATGGTACAGGAAGAGCTGCTAGGATAGAGAGTGTGGGGTCAGGGCACATGGAGGATTAGCCCCCCACACCAAAAAAAAAAAAAAAAGGAAGAAGAAATAAAGGGCAGAAAAACTCCCTCCACAGGGCTAAGAGTTCTCACAAGACAAGGCGCTGAGCTGCTACTGGGTGGCTAATGAGCCTGGACAAATACATCGAAAGCCCAAAGATGTTTCTTTTGATGCAGAAGAGGAAAATTCTTAGACAATTTCATCTGTTAGGAATTCCCATAACAATGTTAGCCATCCCCTGCCTTCAGGGAGATATGGCAAGTTGTAGGAGGGATTCCCATACTGGAGATAAATATAGCTGACCTCTGAAGTCTCATCTAATGCCAGGATTGCCTAATAATGACATTTAGCTGTGGACTGACTGCTTGGAAGATCTTCTTGTTCCACTCATTTTTTTTTTTTTTAGAAACAATTTTTGACATGGAAATTGACTAAATTATTCCTTTTAATTATAGTTATAGTGATACTGTGTTTCCTTGTTTCTCTCCTAAAATTAATAGAGTTACCTATTCAAAAGCTTAATAAAAATTATATATAGGACACCAAATCATCTTACAACTCTTCCTTAATTTTGTAAAAAGAGCATCCTGGTGTTTGTGTATATGTTCTTCTTCCCTGTTTTTGTGGATTCCTTTATATAGACATATACCTGACTTTTAAAAACATAATGTAGCTTTACTCAATTTGATGTGTTAGTTATTTTAGTGCTACTTATTCATTCAGTCACTAGTACTAATAGTTGTCAACTTACCTAATATTTGTCTCCCAGTCTCAGTATTGGATGACACTTCCTGGCCTGGGAGTAGACAGGTGTGTGGTTACTGCTGGCCAATGAGTTGTGACTGGAAGTGACAAGGCCAAGCATTTCTTTGATTGCCAATGAAGACACTCCAGATCTCTTTTTACTTTCCCCTCTGTTATAGTGATCAGCAGCACTCAAGATAGTCCCAGAATGAAATGCAGAACAGAATGCCCAGATGACATGACAGGTGTAGAGAGGAAAGGGAAAATAAAACTTTACTTTAAACCATTTATATTTTGAAGTTATTTGTTACTGTGGCAAACCTGGTTCTCCTGGCTAAGACTGGGGCACCTACAACATAGCCAACAAGGTAGCTACTGTATATATGGCTGTTTGTATTTAAATTTAAATATTAAAATTGAAATGAAAAATTCAGCTCATGGTTACATTAACCACATTTCAAGCGCTCTATCCACACGTGACTCATGCCTACCACACTGCATGATGAGTCTATAGGACATGTCCATCCCTGGAGAAGGTTTTCTGCTGAACAGTATCTAGAGTGCTGGGATATTTATGAAAGTTGGTAATGATACCTTCTAAGATTATTTGATATTTTAAGTGTGCATCTAATGCCACCTTGGAGTTCCTTTTGAAAAGTTTCTCCTTTTTTAATGAAATATCTGGGAGCATTCAGTAGAGGGCACTTTCTAGAAGAAAATAAATCACTCTGAACAGTAACATTTCTTAGAACAAAGAGCTCAGAAATTCCTTCCTAAATGTTACATTAATGCAGACGATTAGTATATTTTTATGATTAGTATATTTTCTTGACACTTTTCATAAGTGAATTCCCAGGGTAGTTTTATTTCAGTCCATCCACTCTGAATCTATTCACATTTTCTAATTCTAATTCTTCTCAATTTCCACATTGATGAATGTGCACCTGGAATAAGATCTAAGGGGCTCAGAGAGGAATTTGTCCAAATGTATTGTCACCTGTGTATACCATTATTTGTGTTGTAAGGACAAGAAAATCTGAATCAAAATATAAAATAATCCTTCCTATCTATTCAACAAC